ATAAAGTAGGGGAAAAGAATTCTAGTAGAGAAATAAAGGAGAATAAAGTTAAAGAGAAGATATATAAAAATTACCCGGGGAAAGTTGGACCTATTAAGGAGGGTCATGATACTAAGAAAAAGGAGGAATGAAGAGGAATTGGGAAAAAAGAGATAGGACGGCCGCAAGAAAAGCAAAAAGTGATGGAGGATAGGACATCAGAAATTGGGGATATAATGAAGGACAAGACATTGCGTTGTGAAAAAGAGCTGATAAACAATGAAGAAGGAGGAAGAAAATAGGCTATGATCCAAGTGCAGGAAGGAGTTAGGAGATTAGTACAAAGTTATCAGGAAATTTTCAACGAGGACTTGGGGTGCCTCAGAGATTATGAAGTAGACATTAAGTTAAAGGATGGTTGTGTTCTAAAGTTCTGAGCGTTACGACGTATACCGTTTGAATGGAAAAGGGATGTGGAATTGGAATTGGATCAATGGGTACAAAGAGGAATTGTTTGTGTGAAATACAGTGAGTGGGCAACTCCACTGGTGCCTGTGAAGAAAGCCAATGGAAAACTTCGTTTATGCGCAGATTTCCGAGTCACGTTAACTCCATGGGTTGAGAGGTCAAATATCCGTTGCCATGGATTGAAGAAATACTAGCCAATTTAAAGGGAAGCGTTTATTTTTCAAAGGTAGATTTTTTGAAACGTGTAAGACCGGAGATTAAGAAATTATTAACTATTACCACACCTAAGGGATTGTTCGCGTTCTGTAGATTATCATTTGGACTTAGTGTTTCGGCTCCTATTTTTCAACGTACCATGGCTGCCGTTTTCCATGGAATGGAGGGGGTGTTTTATTATATGGATGATGTTTTGGTGACGGGTAGGACGCCAGAACAACATGAGCGGAGATTGGAGGAAGTATTTCGACGAATCAAAGAAAAAGGATTGAGAGCAAGCCCGGAGAAAAGTGTGTTGGGGGTTACTGAAGTAATATATTTGGGGAATAAGATCACGGGAGAGGAGGTACGGCCGTTGGACCGAAATATGACAAGAATTAATAATATGATAAGACCTAGTAATAAAGCTGAGGTACAGGCCTTTTTGGGAATGGTAAATTATTATAATCGATTCGTGGAAGGCTTTTCCCAAATAGCAGCGCCGATATCACTTGTTACAGAAAGGGAAAAAATTTGAGTGGACGGGTGAACAAGAGGAGTCATTCAAAGAATTGAAATGTAGAATAGGAAAAGAACCTGTGTTGGTATGTTTTAATAATGAATTGGAAGTCATATTAGCGGTGGATGCTTCTAATAAAGGTGTTGGAGGAGCATTGTTGCATTATAATGATGAAGTTGAAAGGCCTGTGTTGTTTTTTTCAAGGATATTTAGGGAGGCAGAGACCAGATATTCAGTGATTGAGCAAGAAGCATTGACCGTTATTTTCGGCCTAACTAAGTTCGTGAGTATTTAATGGACGCAGATTTGTTATTTACACGGACCATAAGCCGCTTGTACATCTTTTCAAAAAGGACAATAAAGAATTAATGCTATCCCCCCAGTTTAAAAGATGGTTACTGCTAGTGGAAAGTTTTGACGTCCAAGTGATATATCACAGAGGGAGAGAAAATTATTTGCCCGACGTTTTATCCAGATGCGGAGCGGGAGAAGATTTTGAGGAGAAAGAGCAGGAGGAACGGGAAGAGGAAAAGGAGCAGGGATTGATTAGAACTATGGTTAGAATAACTAGAGGAGGGCCTGTGACATGGGAGGAAATTAAAAGGGTGACTTTGAAAGATCGGGAATTGAGGCGGATCAAAGCGTGCCTTAAAGGACGGAAAATGTGGCAAGATGGAGATAAGACCTATAAATATATACAAAAGGAATTGGGCATAATAGATGAATGTTTGGTTCGAGGAAATAGGAGTGTTATACCTGAAAAATTAAGGGAAGCAGTAATGGCAATGATTCATGCGGAACATCAAGGAATGGAAAGAATGAAACAATGGGGACGGGAGTATGTTTGGTGGCCGGGAATGAACAAAGACATTATAAATATCAGTCGAGCTTGTGTTAGATGTAATTCTTGGGCTCCGATGCCTCGAAAAGATAAGGAAAATGAATGGCCGAAGGCAACGCAGCCCTGGGAGCGCATTTGGATTTCTTTGACTTCGAGAATAAAATATATATTGGTGGTAGATGCTTTTTCGAAATGGGTAGAGTATGAAGAAGTGAAAGTATTAAATACTCAAATTGTGATTAAAGTGTTGAAAAATCTATGGGCCAAATTTGGAGTCGCTATGGCTGTAGTCTCGGATGGGGGTCCTGCTTTTATTAGTAAGCAATTCAAAGCCTTTTGCGTAGAGACGGGAACGAAACATATTTTGGCGCCTCCCTATCATCCGAGTTCGAACGGACAAGCCGAGAGGATGGTAGCTGTAGTCAAGAATTGGTTGAAAAAGTCAAAGGATGGGGGTGGAGAGATGTGGGTGGCAGTGGGGTATTATAACAACAGTAGAAAAGGAGAAGGAGAAGGAGAAGGAGAGGAGCCATCGTCGGCGAAGAAGTTTTTAGGACGGAGAACTAGAATTTGGTTAGATTCTTTGAAACCGACAAGACAGGGAAAGAAGCTGTCTGAGGCCGGGGATGAAGCGGAATTTAAGGTAGGGCAGACAGTATGGGTTAGGATATTTGGAAGTAATAAGAAATGGGAATCCGGAGTAATCGTATGGAACATGGGACGAAAATTAAATCGAGTGAAATTCACCGACGGAAGAGAGGGAGTACGGCATCGGGATCAATTGAAGAGGGGCGTGGAACCTGGGAGGTGACGAGCGGGAGTATACGATCGGGAATATGAATAGGGGGATATGCTTGATCAATCTACGGGAAATCGACAATAGCGACACACTAAGGGAGGAAACTCAAGAAACTAACCACTGTATAAATTCGTGAAAACACCTTAAAGGGACGATAAGTATGCCGGGTGAGAGGTGAGGCGAAGTTGGGTTTTCATTTAGTGGGGGCGTGTTATGTGTATTGTGTTAGCGTGGAGTCATTTGTATAATAAGCATTTTATTTTGTGATTAATATTTTTTTTTGATTTTTTTGCGCATTCATTCTTGTTAAAAGAAAATTGCTATTTATAAATTAGAAAAAATTATTTATTTTATTTGTTTATTATTATGCATTAATTAAATAGATATATATATGTCGTATTGGGATATGGAATCATGTTGGATTAGGAATCCCCACTGAATTTCCACTGAATCCCCACGCTTTATTCGGGATCTTTTTTTTTAAATATTTTTTTTTTAAATATTTAAAAAATATTCCGTATCCCCATGAAAAAAAAATAATATAATTACTTTTTCTTCTTTTTTTTGCGGCTGGCACCATATAATTAAAAGGCCAAAATAAGGGATTTAAAAAGAGAATTTAAAAAAAAGTAAATAGCATAAATTAAGGCATATAATAAATGAAAAGGGATGAGGTTGACTTTTTTGTTTTAAAAAATATTAAAAAAAATATTTATAAAAAATCCGAATTATTGCAACAATTATTCAATGCAATATGGCATTTCGTTGAACATTTAAGCAGGGACCCGAACCGTTATTTATAACGTGCTTACGGTTCAGTATATAAAAAATTATAATGGTTTATTTTTCTGGATGCCGTTTAGGATTTCTATCTGCAATATTTGTCGAGGAAAAATACTATGTATCTTTAAGTTGAGCCAAATAAGGTCAGACTCATTTAGAGATTGCTAAAACTAAATTATTTATAACAACGAACAAATTTGAAGTTGAGATTATCAAAATGTTTTTTAAAAAAAAGGCTAAGGACCAATATATATTTTTATTTAGTAATTTTATATATTTTTACATATTTTTATATAGTTGTTTTAATATTTTAGTGATTTATCATTTTTTTTTAAATTATACATATATATCAATATTATCAAAATAAAATTTTAAAAAATAAAACAAATAACAATGGCAATATTTTGAAGTTTTGGAAGCAGGAAAATTTATTTCCTTTTTTGAGAAAATTAGAGAGTAAAATTTTGTCAGCCCTGGCAAATTCGGCTTCTAGTGAAAGATTTTTTTCTGTAGCCAATCGCCTATTAGAGGAAAGGCGTACACAATTGAAATAAAAAAAATAGACAGTCTTCTTTTTCTAAGTAAAAATTTGGATTTATAATATGTACCAACATCCTACCTATCAATCGACTCATTCCTTTGAGGATATTAGAATTACTTGGTCATTGCTCAAGACATTTACAAGAAAATATAATATTTTCATCGATGAATGGACCCCAGATTATGGGAGGCTGAGAACTCTCAAATACTATTGGCTGACAAAATGTCTGAAGCATGGACTTGATTCAATCTTTCATTTACAGATTTTATGGCACTCAGCATAAACAAAAACATCTAAAGGAAAACCTATAATACATGCTTAGACATAGTCTGAACTAGAGCAGGGTCGTTAGGAATGGGACTACTCTCGCACCGGCTTTTCCCTTCTCCTCTTCTCCAGAGTATTTATAGGGAAAAACGATATTGACTCTAATGAATGACAAAAAATGATGAAGAAAAAATAAATAAAAGGAAACAGAAAAAACAATTTAAACGATATTAGGCTTATTAGGATAATGGTTTTCAGGAACCGACTTAACAAATATAGGGAACTTAGATATGTCTGGAATAGTTATTTTCCAAGGATATATTTACTTAACATAAGACTTATTTTTTCTCTTAAATAATCTAATCAGGCGTCAGATACATTATTATTAATATTGTTTTACAATTTTTAATACTATCCTACCGGTAACGGAACTAATAGATCACCTCTTTCTTACTCCTCTCTTCTTTACTATGCTAGCTGACTACATAGTGGTACCGTCCACTATAATAAAACGGGCATACATCATGTATAGGATCTATATATTAGTGAATATACATGGTGCAAGCTTAAACACCTGGTAGTGCAATTTCTGGCGTGGTAATGAATGAATGAATATTGATTAGAACATTCATTCGTTAATTCATGAAATTAAAAAAATTTGAGGGTTTATTAAACGAAATAGAATTATTAAAAAAGCCCAAATTATATTTAGAACAATATAATACTAGTTCTCATATAGTCGGTAACGCCATTATATACATTAATTATATATAAGATTTTTAGCACAGATTATCAATACAATACATACAAGGTTTGACAATTTTGATAATAAACTAATAGGCGATTTCGGTACCGGATCTGGTATATTTTTGATTGCGGCATCATTAATTGCCAATTGTAAGTAAGTAATCTTAGTACAATATTATTTAGATAAATAAAATGATCATATATTATTTTATTATACAAGCTTCTTTCTTTATTACAAATATTTTGAATCTTCAATTATTTATTCACAAATATAAATTTTTTATTGAAAATGTTGAGTAGTTATATTATATAGGCCAGAGCAAAAAGATTTTCTAACAAATTTTTTTGCTATTTTATTTTTTTGTAATCCACTTTCTATATCATTTTACACTGTTTACAATATTTTGCAAATAATCTAAAATCTAATTTTATTTATTTATGGAAAGTTATTATCTACAGTTGCTTAGTTTACATTTTGCTAAATTGATAAAATCCAATAAAGCATAAAAGTTACCTTACAAAACAAGGATAAAAAATTTTCACTATTGAGCACAAATATAAAAAGAATGCAACATAGAATACTACAAAGCAGAGACCTTCATGTGCTTTGATTTTTATACCATGCCTAGGCCCACAGTAAAAAAATTTGTAGGCTTGGCCAGCATTTGATATTTGAAAAAAATTTCCAAGTTTGTAATAAATTTCAAAAATATTTCTAAACCTGACTCAAGCCCATAAAATTTTTTTATATATAAAATTATGTTGAAATAATACACGTTGCTAAAAGATGGTTTTAAAATATATTTGGGTGGGGGGCTTAAAATGAAAGAAGAGGCAAATTTTTGAAGGGCTAGGTATAATAATTAACAAAACTTATTGCCTAAAAATATATTTAGATACATCATTTAATAATGTTAGATACAGATAAATTTTTACAAATTATACATTTATGTATGTAAAGTGTGCATAATGCTTAAATTAGGATTCTATTGTTAAAAAATTTGGAAGTGAACAAAAAAATTAAATTTATAATTAAAATAATGATTGTTAGATTTTAATAAAAACATTTTCAAAATTTTTATCATTAAGGTACTCACTATCTGTAAACATAAAATAATATTAATGAAATTATAATGATTTGTAATATTTGTCCCATTAAATATCATTTTAAAATGAATATTTTTTAGGCCCAACCTATTAAATTTTTCTTTCAAAATCTCAAGCCCAGCACAGACTGCTAGATATTATAATATTAGGCCCATACCTGACTCATGAGCCCGATGAAGGTTTCTCCTTCAAAATTGAGAATTTAAAAAAAAATCCAGCACAAACTTAGGAATAAATTTAAATAAGTATAATATAAAACATTGCTATTCTTTTATCAAAATAAATTAATAATTAAAATTTCTCTAAAATACAAAACAATTATATTCTTACTAAAATTTTAGGTCAAGCTTGTTACTATAGTGATACCAAATTTTATTGTAATTTTAACTATTTTTTATATTTTGTACCGCAGTATATATATCTTTTACAAAACAAACAATCAATCGTCGTACACAATTAATAATGTATATCTTTTAAATTCATCATATATTTAATTGCCTTTGAGGCTAATTTTTTCTATTACATCTATTCTCCTTTTTTGGGCTCTCGATTTGAAACTGTATAAATTGTTTTCTTATCCGTTTTGGATAATGGCTGCTTGTACTTTCGTTCTCTACCACCGTTTGCTCATTCCTGTCGATTTTCATCTTATCATTTATGATGGTGTCTTTGTTTATTGAGTCTTTATTGGGTCAATGTCTTTGGTCACCAATTCGTGTATAGGATCAATGTTTTGGTCATTGAGTTTTGTATAGGCTCAATGTATTTGCTATCGAATTTTGTATATGATCATTTTCATTCATTTGTGGTATAGTTTGCATCGTTTCTTCTCTTCCCTCCTCTCTATTTTTTAAATCGGAGTTGTCGAACCTATGTTTTAACTGATTAATATGTCTTCTCCATACCCCTAATTTAGTTTCAACTAAAAACGTCATTGGTCCTGTTCTTTTAACGATGATACCTGGTATCCAATTATCTTTTTTAAAATCTTTTGCATATATTTTTTCATTTATATTAAAAAAACCTGGTAACTGAGGTATATATGGATGAGGATAAATTAGTTTTATTAATTGTAAAAGTCCTATGGGTTGAAATCTAAGCATAATTGAACTTGGTGATTGTTTTGTGGTTATTTGTGGCGTATTTCGATAATTAAACAAAAAATCTTGTATTTTATTACAATCAGGTTTTTTAAAAAATTTTTAAAAGTTTGTACTAACCGCTCCGCTTCTCCGTTGGTTCTAGGGTGGTATGGAGCACTATATACATTTTTAATTGATAATTGTTTGCAAAATAAATTAAATTCTCTACTTTGAAATGGGGGGCCATTATCCGTAACAATCGTATTGGGGTAACCGAAAATAGCAAAGTCTTAACAACAATTTTCTTACTTCAGTAAAATTATTCGTCGTCATTTTTTGTATTTCAAGCCATTTACTAAAACTATCTATTATTACTAGATATATATCTCCGTTAATTGGTCCGGCAAAATCTAAATGAATTCTTCCCCATGGTTTATTTGCGGAGGGCCATTTCCCTATGATCGTTTTATTGCCATGATTATTTGTTTGACATAATTCACAATTCTTACCGTGTAATTCGATATCTTCGTTAATATTCGGCCACCAAACGTTGTGCCAATAATTTTGTTTTAGTATAACCCTGATGCCCCATATGTAAAAAAGACAAAAAATTTTTTGGAATTATGGTTCTTAATCCCCATAATATACACCCTGCCTCCACGTGAGTTCATTTCGGCGCTGAAAAAACGGTTTTAAATTTTCCTCTATTATCTTTGGCCATCCAGTTGTAAGGTAACGTGAAACCTTTGATAATACCGGGTCATTTCTTGTGTGTGCTTTTATATCTAACGCTGAAATAAATTTTGGAGCATCCGATACTATTAAATTAATATCTAACTCTTCCCAAGCAGATGGTTTACCGTCAATTGGAAACCGGGAAAGCATATCCGCATTACTATTTTTTTTTGTCCCTCAAAGTTGCAATTCATAATCATAATTTGCTAGTAGTAATGACCATCTTACTAATCTTGATGACATATCTGTTATTCTTTTATGTGGATTAAGTAACGATACTAGGGGTTTATGGTCAGTAATGATAATGAAATGTCTGCCAATTAAATATTGTTTAAATTTAATTAATCCAAATATAATTGCTAAAGCCTCACGCTCTATCTGACTGTAATTTCGTTCGGCAGCTTTTAATGTTCGAGACGCGTATCCAATCGGGTTTTCCTCGTTGTTAATGATATGAGATATAACTGATCCTATTCCATGTTGAGACGCATCAGCAGCTAGAATTATCGGTTTTTCCGGATTATAATGTGTTAAAATTGGTGCTTCTGATATTAATTTTTTAAATTTATTAATTACAATTGTTTCATTATTTGTCCATTTCCATGGCACATCCTTCCTTAAAAGCCTATATAATGGAGCGGCAATAGTCGAAAAATTGTTTATTAATTTTTGATAATAATTTATTATACCGATAAAAGCTTGTAATTCTTTAACGTTTTGTGGTAACGGTGCGTCTAAAATTGCATTTACATTCTTATTTGTTGTCGTAATTCCCTCTTCGCTAACGGTATGACCTAAGAATTCAATCATTTCTTTAAAAAATCACATTTTTTTAGATTTAATTTCATACCGTTTATTTTTAACGTCTTTAATACATTTATCAAATTTTTCTTATGACTCTCAATTGATTCCCCCGTAATTATTATATCGTCCAAATATACCGCTACTCCAGGTAATCCCTTTAATAATGAATCCATTGCTTGTTGAAAAATCGCTGGCGCTGAGGCTACCCCAAACGGAAGTCGTGTGAAACGATACAATCCACTAGGCGTGTTGATTACTAACAGCTTTTTTGCCTCCTCATCTAGCTCAATTTGAAAATATGCTTCGGATAAATCTAATACTGTATATTTACACCCATTACCTAGTGTGGCTAATAATTCATTAATTCTGGGTAAAAGATATTTATCTATCAAAATATTTGCATTAACCGTTTGTCTGAAATCACCTCAAATTCGTAAAGATCCATCTTTCTTCAATACGGGCACAATCGGAGAAGCGGTATTCGAGTATTTTAGTCTTTCTAAAACTCCCATGGATTCCAGTCGTTGTAATTCCGTTTTGAGTTTTGCCTTCCACGCAAATGGTATTGGTCTACTTTTCATACATTGAAACTGAGGGTTGGATTTTACCGCTAAACTGGCCTTAAACCCTCTTAGTAAACCTAATTTTTTCGTAAATAATAAGGAAAATATATGTACGATATCCTCCCAAACCTCATTAACTATATTACATTAATTTATTTTTATTAATTTTAATTTGTTTATTAAGTTTCTACCTATCAAATTAATCCCATTGTTTACAATAATAAATTCATGATATATAACTTTATTCATATAATTAACGGGTAATATACATTTACCTTTAATATTGATCATTACATTATTATAAGATTTTAAAATAATATCCGTTTTTGTTATTGGTATTTTTAAACAGTAAACGTCTTCTATATTCAAAATGGAGACTGCCGATCCTGTGTCAATTAAAAATTTAATATAAATTTTATCTATCAATAATTTCACCTCAAATTTTTCTCGAGACTCCTCTGGAAATTCCCAATCCTCAAAACTTTCTCGCTCATTTTCTGGAACATCTATCGTTCGAATATATTCTTTCTTCCCACGATTCCTTCTGCACACTTTTTGTAAATGTCCTTTTATCCCACAATTATGGCAGATGGCATTCAAATTAGGGTACTTAGGTTTTATGTGATCTCCTAATCCACAACAAGAGCAAATAATTTTTGATACTGGTTTGTCCTTGTCATACTGCTCCCTTGTTACTGTTTTTGAGATTTTATTTATCTCCTTCCCTGCAGATAATTTTTCATACGACATCATTTCTGTAGTCTCCATTGCGGTCGCGATTTGTATTGCACTTTCCCATGTCAAGTCCTGCGTGTTAATTAATTTCATTAATATTTTTCCATTATTAATTCCTGACACTAATTTGTCCCGCAATACTGTATTATACATATCTTTAAATTCACACGTCTTTACCTTTATCTTTTATTTATTAATATACTCTACGATGGTTTCATCTTTTTCTTGTTCCATTTTAAAGAAATAATATCTTTCTAATATGAAGTTTGTCTTCTTCATATAATAATTTTTTTAAAGTTTAATTATGTCATCATATGATATTTCCTCTAATGTCTTTGGCAAACACAAATTAAATAATTTAGAATAAACCTCTAATCCAATATTCGCTAATAAAAATGATTTTTTATTTTCTATTTTTGCGATTTTAAATATGAATTCCATTTTTGATAAATAAACTTCCATATTGCACTCCTTTATATTATATTTCTCCATTTGAAACGACTGCGCCATTATAGTGATACCAAATTTTATTGTAATTTTAACTCTTTTTTATATTTTGTTCCGCAGTATATATATCTTTTACAAAACAAACAATTAATCGTCGTACACAATTAATAATATATATATTTTAAATTCATCATATATTTAATTGCCTTTGAGGCTAATTGTTTCTATTACAGTTACATATGGAAAAGTTGTCATATAGAGAAAAGTTGGAACCTAAAAAATAAAATAAAAATATAATTAAATACTAAAATCTAATACTAAATCTTTATTAAATATTAATAATTAAATATAATTTGAAAACATAATCAACATAAAAGAAACATAAAAATAAAAGTAAAAATTTTAAATTAAGTGAAAGTAAAAAAAAATTAAAAAGGTCAAAAAAGTGGAAGTGCTTTAAATTATAAAAATTGTGTCTTTTATATAAAATTAACATCATCCGATTATAACATAATAAATTTCATCTGATTATAATCAACTTTAAATCATTATCCAAATATCTTTTCTTTCTATAATATAATAGTCATTATTAACAATGTACATATTCAAATTTTACATGAACTTTAAATATTCAATTTTTTATATAAAAAAACAAACTATTTTCCGTAAATATTCAAATTTATATACACAAGATTTTAAATAAGTGCAAATCAAATAATGCAATCACAACAAAGCTATGGCCAATTATTTTTAATTTGCAGATCTATAACAACTTAATAAATAGTTATCCAAAAAAATTTTTTAAATAATTTATTAAAATTTTAATATTTCTATTTATTTAATAATAGTATTTCTTTTTTAAAACAATCGGTTCAAAAATAAATATTTAATTCAAACAATTTTCTAAATATGAATAGCTTAAAAGCTTATGTTTAACTAAATTTGATTTATAAATCTATCAATATATATGATGAGTATGTAATAGCAGCTAAGCTTGAATAGGGTTCATTTCTAGACCCAGATAATAGAGAGAGAGAAGATCAGGTACAAATAATTAAAAAACTGTGAAACCTTCCTAGTTTGTCATATACGTCAAGCTCCTGAAAAAATGTATAAAAAAACTTAGCATGAAGACTAAAGATTTAACCATTTTAAATAATCTTATTTATTAATAGGGTTACAAATGATAATTAAATTACTGGCAAACCTTCCCAGTTCTCATATGCATCAAGCTCCTTAAAAATGAATTAAAAAATAAAAAAAACTTAAAACTTTTTTTAGCATGAAGACTAAAGATATAACCATTTTAAATAATTTCCTTATTAATAGGGCTACAAATGATAATTAAAGAACTGACAAACCTTCCCAGTTTTTCATATACATCAAGCTCCTTAAAAAATGTATAAAAAAACTCAAAACTTTTTTTAGCACACAGAATAAAAATTTAACCACTTTAAATAAAAAACAATGCGAAACATAGAGATGCTTATAAATAAAACAACTGAATATGGCATATGTCTTTTGTTGAGAGAAAATTAGATAAATGTACAGAAAAGCAGGAAAATGATTTAACTGATCAAATATATGAAGTTCTATAAATAAAATTATTATATATTTATATTATTTTAAATATATATTTATCTTATTAGAAATAAAATATATTTTCATACCTTATTTGCTTTTTTTAAATATAATTGTATATTATATAGAATTTTTAGTGACATATTCTTAAATATATATTTTACAATGAGTTTAGACTATAAAAGGAAAATTTATTTTATTAAAATATATAAAAAAATACAAAATAAGGTATATATAAAAAATATAAAATAAGATATCATTTAATTTATAAAAAACAATATAATATATATTTATAATATAGGATTTTTGTATAAATGCATAATAAATTCCTATTATGCTTTGCAATATTTGACGATGATTTAATATATTGTTGCTTAAATAAATTTACAATGTTGATTTTTTTTAGGATTAAAAATAGTAAATCTTTCCTTATCAATAATAATGTTATCTAGTTATGTGCAAGTTTGTATGATATTTTCAGTAAGTGGTAATTTAGTATCCATAGGACGAAAGATCATCCATTTAGCTCTTAAGATATCAAACGCACATTCCACGCAATATCCGATAATTATAGGCCTCTTGTTGTGGTGTAAGGATACCTTAAAATAATAATGAAAACAAATTTTAATATATAAATAATAAAAATACTAATAAAATTTTAAATTCCTGATAATTGAAATAATGGCCATTTTGATTAAGTTAATATTGCCCAAAATAATTGCTTTATATATTATATAAATATGATATAATTAAGTCAATATATACTATACCCTTACAGGGCTTTAAAATATAGAAATTTAAAAAATAAGCATCATCAGCCACAAAAAATATGGAGAAATGAGGTTGGAATTAGACAATCTTTTTGGAGGAGGTAATTGGATGTCTCCTTTTTCTATCATTTTATATATTTTGGAGTTGGCAAAAACTCCTCCATCCCATTCGCTACTGGAACTTCCAACATCAACAGTTATAAATTTTACATTTGCATCCACAATTCCTTATTTTTCCAATATTTATATCATTTATTTTTTTTAAAAATTATTTTTATAATTATCTTTTTATAAAAATTATATTTTTATAATTATCTAGGTTTACATTTATATTCTTTGCAATGTTTAGTTAATTGAAATATTTAATTAGTAAAATAAATTCATAAACCTTGTAAAACAACTAGAAAAAATGTTTGGGAGCTTTTTAATTCGGCAGTGTTTTCCATCAATATTACCCACACAGTTTGGTAAATTCCACTTTATTTCAAACTCCTTTTAAATAATAATATACATAAATATAATATACACTATATTATACCTTTGCTATCTTCTCAAAGTCAGTGAAAGAAGGTAGTGGCATATTAATGCTTACTAAAGTTTGCCATATAGTTAGGCATATGGTCCTAATAATTTTTTGGATTGTTGAAATCCCCATTTTGAAGGTATGGGTAATGTAGGATACCTACAGCCAGTAGCTAAACTAAATAAAAAATATCTTTAAATATAAATTACTTTATTAAAGACAAACATAAGTTCTTCTTTGTGGTTGTAGAATATAATACTGATTTTATATCTTTAATATGTAATAAAAAGTTTCCTATATAAAATAGAATTAAAGATAAAATAGATTTAATAAATACTTTGGTCATTCTCATATAATTAAATTTCGCCTTATTTTTTAGGAAAGGTGGTGTTAAATTCGCCCTCTTTTCTTTTATTAATATTAAGATTGTTTAATCTTCTCCTCTTCAATATCATTTTGTATAAAAATATAATTTAACGATGGATACCATTTTAAATTAATAAAATCGCTTTGCACTATGAGAATCGCTGCGATATCGCGGTTAAATCGCAATCGCTCTTCACTATGAATCCAGGGTAATAGGGTTGGTAAAAATCATTTATATATAAAAATAATAAAAACTGAGTAAACCACTATTTTTTTAATTTAAATTAATTTTTATTATATAGAAATAATTTAATATAATATATTATGGATGAATATAACGACCTTAGCAAAGTTATTAATCAAACATGACTTTATTTTACTACAATAATATTTGTTTTATCGTGGAATTTATGTTAAACCATTATTTAATTAGCAAAATTGAAATATCGTTTAATATTTGGCCGTTGTAACAATACTGAATATATAATGAATTTTTTTTTTATTGTTAACAAGGTTATTTTATTTATAATTAATATTTTTTATAGAAATTAGATAAATATAAACTGTATCTAAATTAATTTTATAGTATCAAAAAAATATTGAAATCAATATGCAAATAATTTTTATGGGAGTTTATTATACAAAGAAAATAATTATACGATTGACACACCATTTAAAATCATAGAATGTAGCAATTAGTTAAAATTTAAAAGGAAAATATAGTAAAACGTAGTGTTGTTAAACGGCTCGATTTTTAAAAATGGCTAACCAAATATTTTAGCCAAAAATTTACGCAAATCTGGAGATTTTGCTCATAGAGGGCAGAAAGGTTTGGAAATCTATTAACGAAATCGATGCTTGCGTAATTTTTTTGGTTAAAATATTCGGTTAGCCTTTTTTAAAAATCGAGCCATTTAACAACATTGTCAAATCAGGTTTAATAAAATATTTTTAATTTAAATTTTTTTCTTTCTATGATCATTATTTAAAAAAAATTGATTTAAATCATAATTTTTATTCAAAAAAATATTTGAATTATTCATGCCAAAACCTAAAGTTAAGTAATATCCAATGTATATATTAACAATTTTTTAAATATTCCATCTTTTGAGTAGTACAGAAAGAATATTTTCGATGCTCATGATTATACTAAGTAAGCCATCTATAATTACCGTAATATTTGATATGAAGTGAGTTTAATATCCAATCTTTTTGGTTCTTTTACAGACAATTTTATATATATATCTATTTTTGAAGCATTTTGGCAGTTTTTAATACCCTCATTTTTTTGGACTTTTTCAAATTAAAAAGGTATTCAATATTTGATGACTATAACCAATTTGAGAATGTTCTGATATTTTACTCTTTATCAGAGAAGCACACGGTATCGAGTCACTGCACCAAATGGTTCAAATTTTTAAAAATATTTAAAAAAAATTTGGTTATAATTTTTTAATATAATATTTTTCTAATATCATTTGGCAGTCTCAAATAATAGAAATTTACGGGAATGCTTTTATAGAATATAAATAGAGCTATACTAGACATGCCATACACCCCACTATAGTTTGCCAAGTCTCGCTAAATGAATTTCTGTCCTGCCGCGATCCTACCAAATGTCCAGCGAAATTAAGAAAAAAAATCTAGCTAATTAGTCATAAATCTTAAAGTTTTATAAAATCTCTAGTTTATTTATGAAATATAATATTAAATAATTAATATATAAAAACATCTGTGTATTTTATTCAGAAATATCTGTTATTTTTCTGCTAAATTTTGAAATGAACTTTAAAATGTTAAAATTATACATTTAGATGATTTTTAAAACTCTTTGAGTTCAAGGCGAAGAAAACAATAAATAACATAAATTAATAGTTTTTCCAGTTTGAATCATAAGTCTCAGAATCATAATTACAAGAAGAAACTAATGTATTAATATAAATATTTTAATAAAATAAATTTACAATTTTCAGAATCTAACAAGTCTTTAGATTCTTTAACCTCTAGGTCATGTAATTACACCTAACCATCATATAAATATTTTGAAACTTAGACATTTTTTCAATAACTTGACTCGAATTCAATTTGTAAAATTCACAGATATCCTTGATATCATCTTTAACAAATGTATTTTTCGCCATTCCCCTAGGTGTAAAAAAATGAATGATTTAAATATTTCATTTAATTGCATTATTCTCAAATCAAGTGCATCATAAAACAGACTGGGTTAAAAAGCTTAAATGAAATATATTTAATAATGAAAGTATATACACCTTTCCTTTTGGATTGTAATATTTGAAGTCTAAAACTTTCAAAATTAAAAGGTTGATTTCTCCCCTTCATAAAATCTTATGCCTTTGAAAAAGCATTCAAAAATTCAGTGTAATTTTCTAATTAGACATTATTTAAATTATACTTATCAAATTAATCAGGCAATCTTTTTCCAATTGGATTTTATTTTTTGCAAACCATATATCCTACGACATGGTTTGCAATTTTGTACAAGCTAAGTTTGTCATCAATAATATTTTATCCAAAATTAAGTGATAAAATATAATAAAATTTTTATTAAAACTTCAAGTCATCATAAAGCAGGGGGAAAAGAAATAGCTTTATATGCATTTTAACAATACATATTGCGATTTTTTTAGTACATCACTATCTACAATTTAAAAGCTGCTTTCTTCAGCTCTAATCAAAGCCTGTATACTCCATTGATTCTTCCACTCATATTTGAAGCATCGTCACAGCTTTGCCCACTTAAGAAATCGAGACGTGTTACCCATACAATATATGTATATCTATTAATCTCAACCGTTTAGGCATTTTCATTATATTTTACTAGCAAAACTATTGCTTCTGATTTCGAAACATCATATGTACCATCAGCTATAGTTGAAAATTATCTGTTAGATTTAATTTTTATTTATAACCATATTTTCACGGTTTCAAGAAGAATATTTATCAAAGACCTGCAGAAATACCAATTGCCTATTCCGGTTATTAAAAAAAAATTTGACCCAGCCCGGATTTTATATTCGGTCTGGCTCGGATTTTTTTTTAAAAAAATTTTGCGACCCGGCCTGGATTTTTTAAATATATTACCTTTATTTTTAATTTTTATAGCTAATAATACGATTTAAAATATTCGGTTTTAAAATACACGCCCGCCCCAGATATTTAAAAAAATATTAGACCCTGCCCGGGTATATTAAAATAATTAAAATACGACCCCCCCCCCGTAATAGGGGCCGGGTCAATGTTTATATAATATAGCTTATTTAAATTATTCCAATATAATATACGATTAAATTTACTCTATTTCCGAAAATGGTATTAACACGATAATAATATTTGCAGAATTTGTTATATCTTCAAATCCATAAAAATTGAGAATTTATTAGGTTTATCTCATCAAAGAATAGATGAAATTTTTAACTATAATCAAGCAATAAACATAGATAAAGTATATAATTATATATTTTCACTTCACCATTCAAATGCAGAAAGAATTTTTAGTTTAATGAATAACTCTTGGCGAAAAAATCGTTCTACGTTCTCATTCGATTTATTAGAAGCCAGATTGATGGTAGGGCAGAATGTTGACATCAATTACAGTTCCTAAATTTCCGATAAATATGCAGAGATTTGTATTTAATTTTTTTAAATATATTTGTAAATATTAATAATATTCAAAAAAAGATTGATAAATTCATAAGTGACAAGAAAAATCACCAATACTTATAGTTGTTGCTAAACGGCTCGATTTTAGCCGATTTTAAAAAACGGCTAACTCAATATTTTATCCAGAAAAATATTACGCAGGCCTGAAGATTTTGCTCATAGATGGTAAAAAGGTAGTGTAGTTAAATAGCTCTATTTAAGCCGATTTTTAAAAACGTTTAACTCAATATTTTATCTAGATAATTATTACGCAAGCCTGTAGATTTTGCTCATAGATGGCAAAAAGGTAGTGTTGTTAAACGGCTCTATATGAGCTGATTTTTAAAAACGTTTAATTAAATATTATGCAAGCCTAAATATTTTGCTCATAGATGGCAAAAAGATAGTGTTGTTAAACGGCTCTATATGAGCCGATTTTTAAAAACGTTTACTCAATATTTTACCTCGATAAATATTACTCAAGCTTGAAGATTTTGGTCATAGATAGCCCAAGGGCTTGGATATTAGCGAAATCTTGAGGTCTAGGCAACACTTTTCTGGCTAAAATATTGATTACGCGTTTTAAAAAATAGACTCAAATCGAGCCGTTTAACAACACCTAGACATCTATTAACGAAATCTCGAGGCTTGGGCAATATTTTTCTGACTAAAATTTTGAGTTAGCCGTTTTTAAAAATCGGCCGAAAACGAGCTATTTAACAACACTACTTATATGATTGCGTTTGTCACGCTTAATCCCACTTTTTTAATCATTGAAAATCTGCAAACTCACTTAGAATATGGCAAGCCTAGCCATAATAATTATGCCAAAACTTCATCACACAGAAAATAAATTAAACATCCAAAAATTTCATATTAAATGTTTAAAAGTGATATAAATTGAAAAATCTAAATAAATATTGCTTACGCATTTTTAGAATTTATCTTTCATAGAATTATAGGAATAAACAACGTTCTATTGTAATGTGAATTCTCTAGATATAATTACGGAAATTTTACTTATTTAAATTATCATATATTTTATTTGAATTTTATGATTAAACTATTTTTCTTATTTTTATTCTTATAACATAAATTAAACATCTATTTTTACTATAATCTATAAATGATCCTTTTTAATAATAATTATCAAAATAGCTCTTTCGAAGTTAAAGAGCAATTATTTACATTATGAAAATACAACACTATCTATTATAAAATATTCAATGCGTTTTATTTTGTAATTACATAATTGCCACGATGTAAATGCAGAGTTGTTAACGCTCCTTTATAAAAGTAGCTAGCTCCCGCTCCTACCTTCTCAAAAGGAACTAGCTCCCGCTACTACATTTTTAAAAGGAGCTAGCTCTCGCTCCAAATAATAAAGTGCCATTACCGCTCCTTTGATTTTCATTTTTTAGAGGGTATACGAAATAAAATCTTATTTTTTTTTATCAAAAAGCTTTATTTATATTAAATTATCTATCAATATTTATAACCTTTTATTAGCTTTTAAAAGTAATAAATTTTAAATTAGAATATATCAAACATCCACGCCTCTCCCCTAAGACTTGTTTTGCAATACTAAATAGGCACTCCACAGGAGCACTAGAGGGAAGCAGGGTATTTATTGTATTTTATAAAGATATTTTTTAATTCAGGAAATTTATCAAAAATAGTAATTTTGGTATCATTATTTAAAAAATATTTGTCCAATATATTATCTTCCTGATGATCAATTTCGTGGAATCAAAAAAATCTTCCAAATTAATTTGTATTTAAAAGAAAGATTTTTTACTTTTAGATGCTTTTTTAGATTGAAGCTGCTCACTTTTGAAAATTAAATAGTTTTATTTAAACACAAAAGGCATTTTACCCGTAATTTGTTTGATCATTTGGATCAACATCTTTTAGAAGTTTAAAATATTTTTTGTATGATGGAAATGGAAATTCGATTTCTTCATCTATGATATCTAAATCCATAATATCTAAAACTATTTTTTATTTTATAAGATTTTCCAAAAAGTTTTTAATATAAAAAGGAAAACTTGATGTTTAATATTTAAAATGATTAGATGAAAAACCAATATAAAACTCGGCTAAACATTTAATAATGGATAAATTTAAATTAAATAAAATTTCATTTTTATTGAATTTTAATTAATAAATATAATTAATATTTAAAAAATAATTTAATTTATACATTAAATTTAAAGGAGCGGTGTAGCGGCGCTCCTCCACTCCAGCCCTAAAAGGAGCTAACTCCCGCTCCCGCTTTTTTTTGAAAAAATGTAGCGCCGCTCCTTAACAACTCTGTTTAAATGTATTATTTGCTTTTTAAGTTAGATGATTTTATATTGCAATTCCATTTGAACATAGCCTCAAACTCTCCATGAAAAAATTAAATAACTTCTATTTTCTTTTAATTTTTTATATGATATATCTCATGTAATTTTAAAATTGTTACAGATGCGTAGGGTTCGATATCGACGAAGATGCGTTGCAGGTTGCAAGTGATAACATTTCTGAATTCAATATGAACGATAAAATTGATTTAATCAAAGCTGATGTCACCATGCTAGACGCTACCTTGAATATTCAACGCAAACCTTTTGATATTATAGTAATGAATCCCCCATTTGGCACTAAAAATAACAAAGGTTTTATCATGATTCATTTTATATAAAATAGTGCTTTATTATATTAAAATTTGGAAAAAATAACAAAAGCCCCCTTTTCAACCTATAAATACCCTTGACAATCATAATGAAACAAAATGAGATTACCTTTTCTTTCAGTTTTTTTATTTATCCAGTGTTTTTATTTGAATTACATTAATTAATACTACAATAATTTATTTAATTTTTAAAACTTGAATATTTTTTTTACATATCAAATAATATGGATTTTCAGAAACCTTGTAACTTTAAAAAAACATGGTGTCATTTTTAAAGGATATTCTGAGACTAAACAAAGATTTATATGATAATCGTAATTTTTTTAGTAGACGTGATGCGTATATTCGGTGCAATTTAGCGGGACAGATTTAATTATTAACATAGTTTCTTAACTTATGTTAGGTAACAATAGGGCAAATTAATTTTAAACTATTTACAAAATAAAACAGTTGGATAATTTAGCCGCAAATGCTCCTAAAGAAATAAGAGCCATTATAAGATTTTTTAAAGACGTTTATTTAAATACACATTGAATAAGCATAATATCCTAACTGTTAATTTTTTACAAAGGTTATTAATTACTTTAACCCTTTGACGTCCAACTTTTTAATAATTAAAAAAAAAAAATTCTTTACTCCATAGATGCCCAAAATGTTTTCTAAATTTTATTTTTAAATACACAGGTAAAAAAAATGAAGATGCAATTTGACATCATCAGGCATATTGTAATACAAAAAAATACAATTATCTATTTATTATAAAAATCACGAAAACAATTTCTATATTGATTAAAACATAAATATATATTATATTTTGCTTCATTTCGCAGGAATCCGGCAAATGACCAATGTTGTCATATCAGATATAGGAGCCATTATAGAAGAACTTTTTTAAAAAATTATTGTTCAATCAAAGCTCTCTTTGATTTTACTAATTTTGCCTGCCGATAACAATGCGTTGACAATATGTGTTTTAAATTTGATAAGTTTCATTTATTCTCTTTTTCATGGCATATTTGCCGCCTATACAAAAAGCCATGAATTTAATACATATCAATGAGATGAAAAATGATTCTCAGGTAGAACCATTTACCTTTAATATCTATAGCATTCAACAAGCATATCATGTAAATCGACACCTCTCATACCTTCATTATGTATATTTGGTTAGCACTTCAATATATTTTATGCTACTTAGTGACCTATTTTTATATCGGATGAACACCACCGACAAAGGATGAGATGACGTGCACAAACTTATTGTCATACCATTTGACAATTAATATATTTTCTTTTTTATCAACTTTATATACATAGCTCCCGCGCCTTTTTTTTAAAATCTCTATCGCATTTTAACTTGCAATCATTCATCCGATTACTTCTAATAGTCCCTACCAAATATACCGATTTCTTTTAATTTTTTAGCCAATGCAATTGAAGAAAAGTAGTTATCGCAAAAGAGTTTATGATTTTAAAATTTCGAAAAATTTTTGGCCAATTGGAGGACTATATCACCACTTATCTCTAATTCTGATGAGTTGTGTTGGATTAGTTTGCTTTCCGCATAAATCTTAAAATCATATACAATACCGTATAAATTACTTTGTTCACATATATTATTTAGTATATTATTTGAAATAAATAATTTAAAGTATTGATATGGAGTTAATATATTGGTTGAAGTGGAAAATGTATTAGTATAATTTGTGTCCAAATGATGGATATCACCTGCTCTCTATTTCATATTATTTTGGATGATAATATTATCATTATTTTCTGGATCTTCTATCTCGACCTGGAGATTATTAGATGTTGGAGTTTATGAAATTGAAGGAATCATCGTGTCTCCCTCGACTAGTATTAAATTATTTGTCATCTAATAATTATACAGAATCATTTATAAATGTAAAATTATAATATAAGTCAGAGGAAATAGCTTATTAACGTCAAATTCAAAATTGGTGTGGTCTGATTATAGAATACATTTTATGGTGAAATATAATTATAACTTTATTATAAATATAAAATAAAATAAAGTTTAAAAAAAGGTATTCCAATATCCCAATGACTTATTTTAACATTATGCACTTTAAGTTGATATAAAAAAGAGCATATTCATTTTTAATAAAATAATTATTCATAATATAATACTCTTATCTTTAATAATGAATAAAAAAATTTGAATTATTAAATATTATACACAGAATTCGTTATATTGTCGTTATAAAATCATATTATTCAGTAAAATGGTAAAGAAAAAAATATGAAAATATGATTGGATGAAATTTAAAAATAAAACATTATGAGTTAATAATTTTAATAAAATACGAAAATATTTTTATTATATGTTAAAACAAATCGTGAAACGTCAAAGGGTTAAAAAAGGATCATTAGCTTCAGATCTGGACAAAGCCTCCGCCCTGAAAAGTTAAAAAAAATATCAAAAAATGAACTAGAACTTAAAATAATTTTTTTACAAAAGCCTGGACGATTTAAAACACTAGTTACAATATCATTTAATCAGTTGAATAATTATATAATGGAGCGTTTAATATCATTTACTATATTTTCGATTTCCCGAAATTTAAAAAATTCAAACCGGGCCGTAAAATAGTGAAAAATAAAAAATCAGTGCTTAAAATTTTCTAAATCCAGGCTGTCTTAAAATTTCGACCACTACAAGGCTATAAATAGTTTAAAGCTATAAACAGAATATTGTGTATTTTAGGTTTAGATATGAAATTCTTATCCGTGGCATGTAAATTAGCGTCTCGAGTGTATTCTTTGCACAAAACATCCACTAGAGAGGTTCAATTATTTTATGTATAATATATATTCTTTCTAATTTTTCTTTTATAGCACATCATAAAATTCGCTCAACAAAATGGTTTAAAAATTAAAATTTTAAGTCAAATACAATTCGATATTCCTTCATCTTATGAATTTCATCGCCAAGATAGTGTAGATATAGAAGTCGACTTTATTCGCGTTTGGAATAGGAATCAATGATTTTTTTGTCATGACAATATATACCTTTATTCACATATTTATATATTTCTGCATGATTTCTAACTACACTTTTGGTTTAAATACAGTTTCTTCCAGGTATTATTCGTAAGGCTTCGCTATTTTTCATTAAAAAAACCTCAAATATTAATTTTAATGTTATTTACATAATGAAATATAGTTCTAACTCCTTTTGACCAATTGGTTTTTAATTATAGGGTAAAAAAACAAATTAAAATAGCAAAAATAAAAAAATTAATCAAAATAAAGACATAATTATGAAATATTAGGGAGAAATCAGGATTTATTGTAAAATAATAAATTACAAACTTACTATTTCGAATGTTTTACTTTATTACTTATCTTTGGCCTCATTTATAGTAGATTAATAAACTATGAATTTATTTTATAAATTTTTTTCAACCACTTAAAGTATATATGAATTTTATTTTCATTATTAAAATTTACGAAATTATGTCGACTAATTTGTATCTTATAAAAATTAACTATAGCTATTAGCTTTAGTCATAGAAACGACTATGATTAATAGCCCTAGTCAATTTTAAATAGCTTTAGTTAATATTTTTAGATATTCTTTTAAAATCAGTGACATCCCTAATAACTATAAAAACATGAAACAAGAAAATGGGGAAAATTAAACAAGAATAAAATTTTATATGTAAAATAGGAATATAGATTAGGGATATGGCTAACTGATTTAAGAAAAATTATTAGCCAGGCTATTAGTCGTAGTAATCTTTTTTATGAATGCTGATATATCCAGTGAGACAAGGCCAGGCGTGTAGTAGGGCAGTGCCCCTCTTAATTTAAATTTTTTTATCGTCCCCTTTGCAATAATTAGGGTCCCTTCCAAAAAAAGTGATCCTTTTTTAATATGGTATTTTAGTAAATTAAAAATATTTTTTATCATAAAATAAACATAAAATATTTTATAAAGAAAATATGTAATATATTGATATTTGAATAATTATATAATTTAAATTCCAAAAACTAATCTTTCCCTATTTTAATTGGTTCATAAAAACAGAAGTTCAATAGGAATGGGGAAATAATATTATACCCATTTTGACTAGCGGTGTTCAAAAATGAAAAAATTACATATTATATTTTTTTTCTGAAGATTTTTTGCAAAAAAACGGATTTCTTTTGTTAGCGATGGAGCTCGTGTCCTAACTGGGTAGAAATTTCATGTTGCAACGCGCCTTTGGACACTATATACACCCGATTACCAGAATTTGCAATGCCCGATGCTATAAAAATTGTTAATGGCATTAATCATTGTAAAGTTTTTTTTGACACGATAGAGTTTATATAGCTAATTTAACAAAAATCAAAAGGCTTTGGATAAAATAGTCTGAATTAGACTAGTTGCTAAAGATTCGCAAGGGGGGCGTTTAGCAGTCATACTGTAATGGGCAGCTTGGAACAATTATGAGACCTTTTATATGTATTTCAAAAATTCAACTAAACCTTTTCAAAATTTAACGAGCTCTCTATCCGGTTTATATGCATAGCATCTACATATACCATGTGTGTTAAAATTGGGGTGTTTTTCTTTATTTTGTATATATTTTTTATCTTTATTATAGTTTATTTACTCTTAATAATTTGGCCATGTAACAATGGCGCAAGCATTTGACTTTGAATTATATAATTTAGGGCTGTGCCGATCTACATATTTTTCACCGATCCGATATTTTCCGATATTGGTTCAAACTAGTGCTGTGAATTAACGTAACGACGTTACTTTTTTTGAAGAAAAGAAACGCCATTCGTTACCTTCATCTAAAGGTAACGCAAAACGTTACTTTACTCGTTACTTTATATTTTTTAAGAATAAAAATAAAAAACATTTTTTTTGTATTATAAAACTTTTTATTAATTTTTATTTTTTATTTCTTAATATTAATAATGTAAGCCGAGTATATATATATATCATATCAGTAAATATTCAAATAAAGTAACCCATGACCAGAAAAAAAAAATTTAACAATTATATTTATAAATGAGTATATTATCAAAATATAAATAACTTTTATTGCAAATGCAAGCAGTAAAAAAAAAATTGAAACTAATCAACACACACTCATTGAGATGTAGAATCCATCTATGTTAAAGACAAAAATGGCACAATCAACTGTTGATCAATTAGTTTTTAATTTTGTAATTGAAGAATTACAACCATTTTCAATTGTAGAAAGCACTGCTTTTATTAATATTATCAAAAAATTGCATCCATCTAAAAATGTGATGTCTAGGCCTACTCTCATATTAAAAATTAACAAAGCATATGACACCATGACAAAGAAATTAGTGGATTTATTGTGTATCCCAAAAATTGTCTGTACAACTGTGGATTCTTGGTCAGCTTTTCATCGGTATATAAAAAAGATTGATAATATTGTCTTTTAAAAAAGTTCTTATTTAGGGATGACGGTTTACTGGTTACACCCAAACACTCTTGAGAGGGTTTCAGCCTGCTTAGCTCGTAGAAGGCTAAACCAAAAACATACATATGATTATCTAGCAAAAATAATCTTTGAAATTTTTACCATATATAAGATACAAAATAAAGTGACCAAATGCATTACCGATAATGCTAGAAATTATTTAAAAGCCTTCAAGCAAAAAAATGATATAATATATTTATTAAAAATTTATTAGAGTTTATGAACAAGTAGAGGAATAGGATGATGAAATAGTTCCTCTGCCATTATTTGATCTATTTGAAGATCAAAATATTAATGATAGTATTGTATACTTACCTAAGCATCAATCTTGTTCAGCACACACTTTAAATCATATTGCAAGTATTGATACTGAAAAGCACTCAACGATGTCCATTATAAAACCATTTCAAAAATTACATTTTCTAAATGTAAGCTTTTGTGGAATAAACATGGGCAATCTTCTAACTTGCAGCCATTTTTAAGGAAAATATGGAAAGATATTTGATTAAACCTGTTATAACAAGATGGAATTCTTTCTATAACTCTGTAAAATTAATAAATAGTCTTATTAAGGTGAATTACCAAAAATTTGATGAATCTTGCGACAAATCTGGATTACAGAGATTTTCAGATAACACAGTTTAAATATTGCTAATAATTTATATTTTGACTATCATATTTTCAATAGATTCAGACACATCTATGATGATGAATATATACTATCGGCAATAATTCACCCACTATTTAAATTGGATTGGCCCTGGATAAAATTAGAGGTCAATAAAGGAAGAATGCTGGAACTAATTTCCAGTTTGAGAAAAGATATTGATAAAGAAAGAACAGGCTTGATTCCTTTATCCAACACACGCACTAGAATATTTTCAGATAATTAAAAAAAATTTTGATGACGAAATGAATGAAGATCTCTGTAAAGATGATCCTTTTTTTAAAATAAAGATATTTCCTTAAATATTTTTAATAAATTCCCCGAATTGAAATTTTTGTTTATTAAATATAACCACTCTCCCATTCTCTGCGCTAATTGAACATGTGTTTGGCACGGCGAAAGCTGTGTTGAGTACTAAGCGCTCATGTTTATCTGATCAAAATTTTGAAAATCAATTATTGTTAAAAGTAAATAAAAAATTGTTACATAAAGATATTATCTTATGATATATTATTTTTGTAAAAAGATCTTATCTTATATGTTCTTTTTGTATAGTTTTATTTTAATATATATTGTCGGAAAAAAATAAATATTTTTTTGCATTATATAAACATTTAATTTTTTTAAGTAACGAGTAGCCCGTTACTTTTTTGAAAAGTCGGTAACGCGCGTTCCTTTTATGAAATGGTAACGAGTAACGGTAACGCGTTTCTTTTTTGTAGTAACGTTTACAGCACTAGTTCAAACCCGATCCGATATTTATATTAATTTTTCACCACCCTCCTTTGAACCAAATGTGATTAAGAAATCAATATTTTCTATGCAAAATATTGAATTATGCATTTAATTTAATTTTTTTATTTCTACAATAATTAAAAAAAAAATTTCGGATATTGGTAGTATTAAATGAAATTTTCATTATTTTTCTCCCTGAAATTAGAATTCCTCAGATAACGCATTTTGCAAAATTATCCTTGTCTTTTGTAAATATTTCCATAATTCAGATACCATATTTAAAAAATTTCTTGTATTTAAAGTATAAATAATAATGGCGTTATTATTTAAAAAGATTTAAAATAAATATAACTTTGGGTGTTCCTTTCTATTTTTATAAAAAAAACTTTTAAAATACTATAAATCTATTTAAAAAAATAAATAAAATTTAAGAAGTGTTGTGCATTTGCATTGTTTAAAAAAAAAATTATTTAGAAAATATTAATCTAAAATAAATATACATAAAATAACAAAAAAAAGAAAAGTAAAAATATCCGATCGGTTTTTTACAGATATAGGCCCGATCAGGGTTGCAATGTCTCCCCCTATCAATGGTAGACTCCCGCAATTTTTTCGTTTACACGCAGACATCTCACTACCGCAATTGGAAATCTCCCACAAAAATCTACCGCAATTTTTTAATTTCTCCCGCACAATTCTTTTTAGCATTTTAACGTTTTTATTATATAAATAATCATTGAGAGACAGTAATTGATTATTTTTAAAATAAATTTTAAATATTTATTCGAAAAACATGTCTAGTTTGTAAATTTCTTTCTATCCAGTTTTATTTTTATCCAATAATAAATCAACATAATTCATTTCATTAGTACTTTATCATTTTCAGTGTGTTTGTACATAACATAGGGCTTGGCGCTTAATCATTCAACCTTCACAGAGCTATCTATCATCACAATTGTCGAATCTTTTCTCCATAATATTTATCGACTCTAATATAAGTTCAAACTTTACTTGTGGTAGAACAAAAATGAGCAAGGCTATCACAAGGACCTGAATTCAAGAGGTCAATTCTAGACGACTTGAAAGGTCGACATCCATCATTCATATGCAATTTTAACAGATGCATCTAATAAGGGAAATATTAGAACATTTCCCTTCATCCTTCGATATTTCAGCAAGAATAAGTATTTCAATAAAACTGTTAAAATTTTTTCCTCGGATAGTGAAAAATCCAACGATATAGCTAACCACATGATGGTAAATATAGCTGATTCAGGGTTATCAATAAGTTGCATGTCAACTTTCTCTGCTGATAATGCCTCTGTGAATTTTGGCAAAACCAAAGTATATTTACCGAATAGATGCAGTACAATAATGACTTATAACAACTGGCTGCATATGCCATATACTACATAATTCTTGCAAGAAGGCAATGAATGTATTATCTGTGGATGTAGATTTAATTGTGATGAAATGTTTTAACGAATTTAGTTCATCAACTAAAAGAGTTAATGAATTAAAGAGTTCGTGAAGTGGTCTGACTT